CCTGGCTTCAAGCAGGCGCATGTTGGACCTCAGGGTCTCAGTTCTGACCAGAGGCACCTGAGCTCAGACAGCGCCTAAAGGAACCCCCAGGCGGACCATTCGCTAAGGGCGCCCCCAGGCGGACCGCCTCCTGTCCGGGTGTGCGCTCCGCAGGGGTGCACGTCACTCCCCTTCGGTCCTCAGCGGGCTCTGTGGCTCCGCGCACAGCACGCACGTCCATCCTGGACCGGCAAGGGGTTCCGGGCAGGGATCCCTAGCTGCCCGCGCCTCAGGCACAGGCGAGGGCACAGCCTCAGCCCCTCATTGTGCCGCCAGGAGGAAGAGACGCGGAGCTGGAGGCCTTGGAACTGCTCCTTCCGCCCGCGGAGGGACCCCCGGCTGCCCGGGGTGAGGCCGCGGGGCGCGGGGCGGTGGGGGCGGGCGGGCCGGGCCGGGCCGGGTGGCGGCGTCTCTAACTCGCCGGGTCCCCGCAGTCGTGCGCGGGGCTCCGCCTGGTGGCCCGGGGCCTCTCGGACGCCCAGGCCGTGCTGAGCAGCCTGCCCGGCCCGAGCTGTTTCCCGGCGTCGCCCCCACCCTGGAGCTGCTGGCGTCGGCGGAGGGACGTGGAGGCCTGCGTGAGTGTGTCCGCCGCGTGTCTGCGCCCCGCCCGCAGCCGGGCCGCCGCTCTCCTCTGTGCTCGGAGCCCACCGTCCAGGCACAGTCCGCGTCCCGCTGGGGTCCGAGGGCGGGGCTGGGGCGCGTGGGCCGGGCCGGTGGGAGCCGGTCCCTGGGCTCCTTCGTTTACCTCCTGTGCCCCCTGCAGCTCGAGCTGGAGCGGCCAGGCTCCTCGAGGAAGGGCCCGCGGGCACCCAGGAGGTGTCCGCACCGGCGGAGAGAGGTGATTGCGGGGGCGGGGCGTGGCGGGGCGTGGCGGTGGGTGTGGAGGGGCGGGGTGGGGTGCCCCGGGGTGGGGTGGGGCAGAGTGGGACGGGGTGGGAAGGGGTGGGTTGGGAAGGGGTGGGGTGGGCCCGGTGGGGTGCGGTGGGGCGGGGCGGTGGAGCAGCTGGGACCCCGGAGGGGGAAATGGCTAACTCAGCCCCGCTTCGCCTCCTTCCCGGGTGCCAGGACTCGCCTGGGTGCCATGAAGCCACCATCATCTTCAACCTCCTGCGCCTGCTCACGTGGGACCTGAAGCTGGCGGCCGGCTCCAGGCCTTGCCTCTGAGCGCGGCTGCGGAGGGACCGCGGGCTGCTGGCGGCGCTCGGGTGGGGCTGCGCTCCCTGGGGCGCGGGCAGGGCTGCAGCCAGTGGGCGCGGGCGCTCAGGAGGCTCTGCGGCCTTGGCTGCAACTGGATGGCCGCGCAGCGTGCGCCCTGTAGCGCGGGGACAGGACCCGAGAGGACAGCGCGTCCCTGGCAGCAGGGACGGTTCTGCGGAGAGCCTCGCCCTGAGACCCTCCAGGGTCTGTGCGGCAGGAGAGACTGGAGAGACTGGAGTCCTGAGTCCACGGGGGCGCGGACCACCTACCGTGGACAAGGCTCTACTTCCCTGGGCACCAGCAGCGCAGAACCAGTGTCCATGCCGTTCCCACGCCCTGTTTGAGCCCTCAGCGTCTCCTGTGAGATTCTGTGAATCTGTGACTCTGCATCTCTCCACTGGGGAGGCCTCTGCCCTAAGGGACTTGGCAGTGAAAGGGCCTGGAGTCCTTAGGTTACTGCAGTATTTTGGATTCTGTTACCTGTGTGTCTTTTGTATTTGAAATCCCTGAGCAATGGGCTACTCTGTCTTTCATCATTAAATATTCTTGCATCTACACTGGCTGTTCCCCTGTGATCACTCTGAGCGGCACTTTTTGGTTAAAAACGCCTAGCCAGGGCCATCAGGTGACTTGTGTTCAACTCTGACCCTGCCATTAGCATAGTGTGACTGGGCAAGTTACTTCTCTGTGGCCTCAGTTTCCTCACCTAAGCAATGGCCTCATTATCCTTCCTTTGTGGATGAGTCCTGTACATTGAAGCAGCACCTATAAAGCTTCCAGTGGAGGCTTAGGGTGGTCTCAATCAGCGGCCTCTATTAAATAACCACACACACCTCCTTACACAGACGAATGCACTTCTTCATTTGTCCAAGCCTGTGGGCTAGAGGTCCTTGCTGCCAACTGCAGGGCTCTTTGTCAAGGTCACACAGCTAGTGAGGGCAGAGCCAGGTTTGAATCCCAGACCCTTTAACTCCATGCTGTATGCTCTTAAAAAAAAAAAAAAAAAAAAAAAAAAAAAATATATATATATATATATATATATATATATATATATATATATATAGAGAGAGAGAGAGAGAGCGCGCGCAGGCTTCTCTCAGTGGATAGATTGTCAGCCTGTGGAATGGGGGTCCTGGATTGATTTTTCTCAAGGGCATTTTTGGGGTTGTGAGCTCCATCCCCAAGGGGGGGGGCAGTCAATGCAGGAGGCAGCTAATCAATGATTCTCTCTCATCATTGATGGTTGTTTTTTTTTACCATTTTCTTTTAAAAAATATAATTTATTGACTTTCTACAGAGAGGAAGAGAGAGGGATAGAGAATTAGAAACATCGATGAGAGAGAATCATCGATCAGTTGCCTCTTGCACACCCCCTACTGGGGATGGGGCCGCAACCAACATACATGCCCTTGACCGAAATCAAACCTGGGACCATTCAGTCCACAGGCCCATGCTCTGAGCCAAACCAGTTTCGGCTCATCATTGATGTTTTAAATCTCTCTCCCTCTCCCTTCTCTCTGAAATCAATAAAAATATATTTTAAAATAAATATAATTAAAATATTTTTTATTGATTTGCCCTGACTGATTTGCCTGACCAATTTGGTCAGGCACATGCCCAGATTGTGTGCTTGGTCCCCAGTAGGGGCCATGCAGGAGGCAGCTGGTCTATGATTCTCTCACCATTGATGTTTCTCTCTCTCGCTCCCTCTACTTTTCTCTCTTGCTCAATCATTGATCCTCACTGCCCAAGCAGGAGACATTATTTTTATTTTACTTACTTAATTTTTTAATAATTTTTTTATTGATTTCAGAAAGGAAGAGAGAAGGAGAGATAGAAACATCAATGATGAAAGAGAATCATTGATCTACTGCCTCCTGCACCACCCCTATTGGGGATCTAGCCCAGAACCCAGGCATGTGCCCTTGACTGGAATTGAACCTGGGACCTTTCAGTCCACACGCTGACACTCTATCCACTGAGCCAAACCAGCTAGGGCAGGAGACTTTATTTTTAAAACACATAGCAACAATAAGCTTCTTGCTCACTTTATCAATGTTACTCATATTTAAAATGTAGGCAAACATTTCAAAATGTGCTCCTGATGTTATCCTGGGTTCAATACTGCATTGTGGCAAAGCCTCCGTGATGGGGGGAGGCATAAAGCTCTCCCCAGATGCAGGGGTGAGGGGTTGTCTTTTTCTCCTTCCAGATCTTCACATGGCTCACTCCCTCACTCCTCATTTTTGCTGAAATGTGATATTTCTGGCCTCATTCAGTGCAGCCCCCCCTACACTCTACCGTCACCTCACTTTTGTGCTTTCATTTTCTGTTCCCTGATGTAATGTACACTGAGTGATTACCCCTACCCCCCACACCCCACTCCCCCTAGTAAAAAGGCCATGAGCCCTGGCTGGTGTGACTCAGAGGCTGGAGCGTCCTCCCATGTGAAAGTTCTCGGGTTCAATTCCTGGTCAGAGGACATGCCCAGGTTTGGGGTTCTGTTCCCAGAGAGCCCCTGACTCTCTGTCCCCTCTTCTGCCCATCCTTCCCTAACAGTCCTGGCCGGGTGTTGCCCGCTGGTGCTGATGCTGATGAGCACGGTGCTGACCAGCACAGGAGCAGTTTCCATCCCCACGCCCCTCGGGACCCTCCTGGGTGCAAGGGGCTGCCAGGTGGCCCAGTTCAAGTCTGTCCCCACAAGAGATGAAGGCCTTCAGAAGGACCAAAGGTGTGGGAGGCCACCCTTTCACATACATGTTTCACTCTCACATTAATGCCCCCTCCCCTCTCCTCTCTTCCTCTCCCTCTAAAGATCAATACAGTAAAGTTTGTTTGTTTGTTTTTTATAAGAAAGCTCCAACAGGCTTTGTTTAATGGGTTGTTTTTTCACTGCTGTGTTCCCGGCGCCTTGAGTAGTGCCTGGAACATGCTGGGGGCTGAGTGACTCTTGGTGAGTGAACGGAGGCATTTGACAGCTCTGAGCGGGACCCCTTGAAGCCCTGGCACCCTCCCCCCCCGCCCCCTGGCTTCCTAGCAGAGACTCCTATACCTGGTGCCTGCGATCTGGACATTAAAGATGTTTGTCAGCTCCCCTCCCCCCCCCCCTTTCTAGGTACCCGGTGGGGAGGGAGGGAAGAGCTGGTCTCCTCTCTTAACTCTGGGCAGCTTTGTCCTGCTGACTCTCTCCCCCACCACCCCTCCCGCCCGCAGCAGCCTGCTCCCTTCATCTCCCCCCTCCCCTACAGCCTCCTTCTCAGAAGTTCCAGGTTCTTGGTGGCCACAGCCCTGGAGGGCCTCCCCCTCTGCCTGCAGGGGTGTCCTGTGGAGAGGCAGCCCCTCCTGTGGGGCTGAGGCTGCCCTTCTGCTGAGACCCGGTTGGGACCTCACCTCCTGTAGGTGAGCCTGAGTGTGTGTCACTTTCTGTTTCGCTCCAGCTGCTCACCTGGCTCCAGGCCCTGCCCTGCACGGGCTTCCCCAGCCTGGGGCCTCCCCTAGTGACAGGTGTGTTTTCACTTTTCCTACATCAGCTGGGATTGCCCGCCTGTGCAGCCCAAAAGCTGCACCATGGAGCCCAGGAAGAACTTACATCAGAGCCGACCTGCGAGTTCAGCGACACACACTGAGCAGCGGCTGAGACCTGGAAGAGGAGACCCAGGCCAGAGACACCAAACAGGGGTTAGTGAGCCCCAGGGACAGCCTGTGAGAGGACACTTGGATCCCCGCCTGGGACAGAGACCAGAGACCAGAGACCAGAGACCAGGATGAAGCTGGGTGAGCCTCCAAGTCATTGTCCATGACCCTCACTCCCCACACCCCCCACCCTCAGCCCCTGACTCTCTGTCCCCTCTTCTGCCCATCCTTCCCTAACAGCCCTGGCCGGGTGTTGCCTGCTGGTGCTGATGCTGATGAGCACGGTGCTGACTAGCACGGTGCTGACTACCACGCCCCTCGGGACCCTTCTGGGTGCAAGGGGCTGCCACGTGGCCCAGTTCAAGTCTCTGTCCCCACAAGAGATGAAGGCCTTCAGGAGGGCCAAGCACGCCTTGGTGAGTCCGCGTCCTCCCCGCCCCCCGCCCCAATCTCGGCTCCCCACCCCCGCTGGAGGAACCCCCACCCTTCCCTCTGTGGGTCACAGGCCCATTTGGCTCCAGGTGGCCCTGCACCCTTCCTTCCCCGGCTGGCCTCTGCCCTTCGCACAGTGGCCTCCCCTGCTCTGGCTGCTGTGGGCTGACTCTTGTTTTGCACTGGAGATGCCTCTCCCTCCTTTGGGACCTTAGCCCCCTGCTCCTGTTGCTAGCCATCCTCCACCCCCTGCAGGGGTCACCCTCCAGCCCTGCAGCTGTGGCTGACCTCTGCCCTTGCTCTCCAGGAAGAGTCCCTCCTGCTGAGGCACCGGAGCTGCAGCTCCCACCCATTCCCCAGGACCTGGGACCTGAGGCAGCTGCAGGTGAGTTGGGAGACTCAAGCCAGCCCTGCCCTCACCTGGCCCTGCTCCCTTGGCTTCTTAGGTGGCCCTGTCACCTCCTCCTCCTCACTGTTCTCTGTGCCTAGCAGGCCTCCTGACCTCTTCTCCTCACCTGCTCACAGTGACCTTCCCTCTCTACTCTCCTCTCCCCTCCCCCTGGTCCTCCCTCTGCCCTCCTCCCCTGTCCTCTCTCACATGCAGCCCTCAGCTGTCTGTCTCCCCTGCTCAGGTGTGGGAGCGCCCTGTGGCCTTGGAGGCTGAGCTGGCCCTGACACGGAGGGTCCTGGGGGCCATAGCTAACTCGAACCTGGGGGACGTCCTGGACCAGCCCCTTCTCACGCTGCGCCACATCCACTCCAAGCTTCATGCCTGTGTGAGTACCCTGGTCTCCCGGGCCATGTCTGTGGGCTCTGACCACCCCTGTGTGCCCCTGTGTCTGAGACCCTGTTCACTCACCACCTTCCTTTGCCCACAGGTCCCAGCTGAGTCCACAGGCCCCAGGCCCCTGGGCCGCCTCCGCCAATGGCTGCACCGCCTCCAGGAGGCTGAGAAGAAGGTGAGCGACTGGGGAGGGACCAGTTTCTGGGGACAACGTGGGGCCCAGGTGGCGAACAGCCACTGAGCTGTCCTTTCCTCTCCACAGGAATCCCGTGGCTGCCTTGAAGCCTCTGTCACATCCAACCTCTTCCGCCTCCTGGCCCGTGACCTGAAATGTGTGGCTGATGGAGACCTGTGTGTGTGACTCTGAGGCCCACCCGCCACCTGTCCCAGCACCTTGGTTTATTTATGCACCTCCACCTTTCTTAATTTATTGCCACCCCACCACTATTTATGCATTTTTTGTGTGTGAATTGTCAAACTCGCACCCGATAAAGTATTTGTTTTTCTACTTTTTGTAAGAATTGTTCAAATAAATGATAAGAAAAAGATGTGTCCTGTGCTGTGGGATCACGTGTCTGATTGTGCGGATCAGTTTCCTCTCGCCGCCATAATAAGGGATCCCAAGCTTAGCATCTGCCAACCACCAAGTTCAGGATCTCACAGTTCCAGGGAGGAGAGTGCAGGGGGCCCAGCCTCTCTCCACCGGGGGTGGCACAGGGCTGCAGTCCAGTGTGGCTGGTGGGACTCTCCTAGGGAGGCCTTGGCAGGACAGGCCCCCCTCCAAGCTCAGCAGAATTCTCCTCCCTCCTGCAGTGGTGGCACTGAGGTTCCCGTGCCGCTGCAGAGAGCGTCCGTCCCCAGCTCCTGCCAGCCTCTCGCAGGCCCTGGCACATGGACCTCCATCTCGGAGCCCACAGCCACGGGTCACATGCTTCTGGCGCCTGGCATCCCTCTGCCTGTCCTTCCGCCACGTTTCCCTTCTGCCTACAGCTGGAGAAAGTGCTCTGCTTTTAAGGACTCGGTGTTTAGACGGGGCTCACAGACAATCCAGGACAACCTCTCTCTTTTAACATCTGTAAAGCTCAGTTTCCTCTGCGAGGTCCTTTTGCCTGTCACATAAGAGAATCACAGTTCCAGGGATCGGCTGGGCATTTGGGGCCACTATTCTCCACCACAGTCCATGTGTGGCTGCTGCATGTGTGGTTTCTTTGAGGGTACGTGAGTGCATTTTGGAATGAACTCCATTTGGACATGGTGTATACTTCTTTTGATTTATTGCTGAATTCTATGTGTTAATATTTTGTTAAGGATCTCTGTGTCTGTGTTCATTGCTTACTTTTGTGTGAGATAATAAATTTTGCCTCAATTTTAAGCTAGTGGAGTTAGGACTTTCTGTTATTTGCAGCCAAAATTATTATTAGTGATACACCTGGAAATGAAAGGCAACTTTCCCTGGAAGTTGAAGAATTCTGGCTGCATGGGTTGTTCTGCCTCAACCTTTACCTGGGCTGTCATTGGTGTCCACATACTCAGTATCTACAGAGGGGGATGAGAAGATGGATAATCCGGGCTGCATTTCAGGGAACCAGGCGCTTCTACCAACCTCATCTCTGGGACATCACTATTTCTCCAAACCTCTGCATTGTTTTGTTTTGTTTTTAAGTTTCACTCCAGGTCTTTCAAATCTGCTCTGCTTCCTCATATCCTCTTCACCACCACATCCTCTGTCTCCAAAGAAATTACTCTGTCCTCTCCCTCACACAAGCTGCCAGGCAGAGACTCCTCACCTTCAGCGCTGCTCTCCTTCCTGCACCCACCCTGCACTTGCTCTCCTGTCACATGGATGAGCTGCCTTTCTTCCTAACTAGGGCCAGTGCCTGACCATGGTCCCTAATTACCCCTCTCTTACTCTATTTTTCAAAACTTCATCTCTAAATGTACCTGCCTATTAGCAGTCTCCCCCTTTATACCATCCCTTTCTTAATCCATCCTCTTTTCTCTTGCTACTATTTCTCCATCTCTCCTTTTCGCTGGCTCCGTTTCCTCACCCACTCCAGTCTTCACAGCCCTGGCAGCTGGTTTCTACCTCCAGAGCTTCACTCAGCACCAACAATCTCTTCACAGCTAAACCCTGTGACTGCTTCTTCAGTTCTTATCCCAGAAGACCTCTCAGCAGCATCTAACCCATTCCTCATCAACTCCTTCTTGTAGCTGTCTTTCACATTGATTTATATGATATCACACTCTTCTTGTTTTTTCTTTAACTTCTAGCTGCTGCTTCTCAGTCACATTTTCTGGTTCTTTCTTCTTTATTCCCCTTAAGTACTAGGAGTTTCTCAGGTTCTGTCCTGAACTCTTGTTTCTCTTCCCTGTTCACTTCTCTCTGGGGTCATCTCAGACTCCCTGGGATAACCTGGAGCGGGAGACCAGCCACCTGCTCGACAATTACCCTTGTATCAGTCCACTTAGACTGGATTATGCTATAGTAACTAATAGCCCTTAAATTTCAGTGGTGTATAACAACAAAGAGTTATTGTTCAATCATGCAATGACCATCTTGGATAGGCCGAGTCTCAGCTCCTCATGAGATCCAAGATGAAGGTGCAGCTCTTGGGTATTTCTGGCCTTAGAATATAACTAAGAGCACACCATGGACTATGCACTGGCCCTTACTCTGCTAAGAAATTATATGCACCACTTGACCTCCCACCCCTATTTAATTGGCCCAAGCAAGTGACATAACCAAGCCTGAGGTCAACAGAGCAAAGATTTAGATTCCTCACTTCTGAAGGAAAGAAGATTTCTAGAATGATAAGTAGTTGAACACATCCTAAATTCATACCTTCAACTCTGATTTTAAAGACAAGGACAATTAGCTTCATTATTGTGCATAGAAACCAACTCAAGTTCGATCCAAACTGGACCACCTTAAAGGTTTCTTTGGCATCCTCCGAATAAATGGACCAGTTAGTGGAAACCCTGTGGAAAGGGCTAGTCTGCAGGGTGAAGGCAGCGCCAGTGGGACGCTCTCCGTGGTTCTGAACACTGTCTGCTAGACTAGAGCAGGGTGGTTTCCTCCATCCCTGGGACTTTGGTGGATGCCTGCTAATTCCAGCACTTGTAGATTTTTTATTTTGTTGTCACATCCCATATGGTTTTAAAACAAATAGAACTATCCTACTGTGTGTGAAATATGTTTATTTATCAGGGATTTTTCTTCAAACAATGGAAAATCCCAACTCAACCTGATTAAACCAGGAATTTATCATCTCAACAAGAAGCCTAAAGGTGAGATAGATCAGAACTTGGCTAATTTAGGAAATCACATTAATTCTATCATTAATCCAGATTCTTCCCATCTTTCAACCTGGCCATTCTCAGCATTTCAGCCTCCTTCTCAAGTTAGATCTCCTCATGGTCGCAAGGTGGCTACAAGAGTTCCAGACATTACATCCTCTTGGCAATGTCCAGAGGAAGGAAAGAGACAGCATCTTACCATGTGTCTTTTTTTTTTTCACTGAGGGAAATATTCCCCAGAAGACCCCTAGAAAACTTAGCCCATACTAATATCTCATTAAAAATTGCAACCCCCCTGGATGTCCTCATATTTCTTACTCTGCTCTACTTTCCCCCCATCCTGACAGAGATTCTTGTCTGTCACCTCTATGTTTCCAGCACCCAAAATAGTGCCTGGCACATGGTAGGTGCTCAGTCAATATTTATTGAAAGAAATTACCATCACATAGCATAAATAAAAATATATTTTAAAAATAAAATAATTTTATTGATATCAGAAAAGCAGGGAGAGACGCAGAAACATCAATGATGAGAGAATCATTGATCAGCTGCCTCCTACACACCTCACACTGGGGATCGAGCCTGCAACCCGGGCATATGACCTGACAGGGAGTTGTTCATCAGTTTATTTTGTTCATTAGATTCCACATAACAGTGAGATCATGTGATACTTGTCTTTCTCTGACTGGCTTATTTCACTTAGCATAATACCCTCCAGGTCCCTCCAAGCTGTCTCAGAGGGCAAGAGATCCTTCTTCTTTCATTCTTCATAGTGTTCCATTGTGTAAATATACTACAGCTTTTTTATCCACTCCTCTACTGATGGGCACTTGGGCTGTGTCCAGATCTTAGCTATTGTAAATTGTGCTGCTATGAACACAGGGGTGCATACATTCTTTCTGATTGGTGTTTTGGGTTTCTTAGGATATATTCATAGAAGTGGAAACACTGGGTCAAATAGAGTCCATAATTAATTTTTTGAGGAAACTCCATACTGTTGTCCATAATGGCTGCACCAGTCTGCATTCCCACCAGCAGTGTACTAGGGTTCCCTTTTCTCCACATTCTCGCCAGCACTTGTTGTTTGTTGATTTGTTGATGGTAGCCATCTGACAGGTATGAGATGATACTTTATTCACATTTTGATTTACATCTCTCTGATGTCCAGTGACTTTTAGAATTTTTTCATGTCTCTTGTGCATCTGTATGTCCACTTTGGAAAAGTGTCTAATTAGGTCTTTTTCCCATTTTAAAAAATGGATTGTTTGTCTTCCTTTTGTTAAGTTGTGTGAATTCCTTATATATTTTAGATATTAAACCTTTATCAGATTTATCACTGCCAAATATGTTCTCCCTTTATGTTTTGTTGATGGTTTTTTTTTGCTGTGCAGAAGCTTTTTATTTTGATGTAGTGCCACTTGTTTATTTTTCCTTTGCACTGGGAGATGTATCCATAAACATATTGCTATGAGAAATGTCTGAGATTTTGCTGCTTATGGTTTCTTCTAGGATTTTTATGGTTTTATATCTTACATTTAAGGCTTTTATCTATTTTGAGTTTATTCTTTTGTATGGCGTAAGTTGGCTATCTAGTTTCTTTTCTTTCTTTTTTTCTTTTCTTTTTTTTTTTCATGTATCTGTCCAATTTTCTTAACACTATTTATTGAAGAGACTGTCTTGATTCCATTGTATGATTTTGCCTCCTTTGTTAAAAATTAATTAAGCATAATAGCTTGGGTCAATTTCGGAGTCTCTGTTCTGTCCCATTGATCTATATGCCTGTTCTTATGCCAGAACCAGGCTGTTTTGATTACAGTGGTTTTGTAGTTTAACTTGATATCTGATATTGTGATTCCTTCAACTTTGCTCTTCTTTCTCAACATTGCTGTAGCTATTTGGGGTCTTTTTTGTTTCATATAAATTTTCAGAGTATTTGTTCTAGATCTGTGAAATATGCTGTAGGTATTTTAATAGGGATTGCATTGAATCTCTAGATTGCTTTGGGTAGTATGGACATTTTAATGGTGTTAATTCTACCCATCCATGGATATGGTCTATGCTTCCATTTGTTTATATCTGCTTCTATTTCTTTTATCAATGTCCTATAGTTTTCTGAGTTTTCTTTTACCTCCTTGGTTAAGTTTATTCCTAAGTATCTTAACTTTTTGTTGCAGTGGTAAATGGGATAGTTTGTTTAGTTTCTCTTCCTGATAATTTATTATTGGTGTATAAAAATGCCATCAGTTTCTGGGTGTTTATTTTG